CGCTAGCAATTCCCTTTTATTAATGTGATAACGAGATGCACGTCTCCACGATGTGGAAGCACGGGATCATCACTCCAACCTACAAAAGTGGTAGCCGTGCAGAACCAGTAAATTATCGTCTGATAACAGTTCTTCCGGTGATCTCCAAGACCATGGAGTCCATTTTAGCTGGCTCTCATGGAGTACCTGGAGAGCAACAACATTTTCGTTCCGGAGCAGCACGGATGCCGCCAAAATCAGTCCTGCACCACTAACCTCTTGATAGCTCGTGCAAGCTGGACGGAATCTGTAGACGCCGGTGTAGGGGTAAACGCAGCCTACCTGGATTACTCCAAGGCATTCGACCGACGGGGCCATCGCGTTATACTGCCCAGAGATCAGAAGTACTGTATCGGCGATCCCGTTTTTGGACGGATAGGTGACTTTCTCCTTTAATGTCACCTGAATGTGAGGGTTGGCGGAGTTCGCCGAAGTGCAGTGCGGCGTTCTTCAGGGCTCGGTACTCTGACCACGCCTGTTCCTGGTCTTCCTAAATGATCTCGTAAGCGTGCTGCCTTCAAAATGTCTGCTATTTGCAGCTGATCTAAACATAAGGCGTGTTATTGCTTCAGTGGAGGATCACACAGCGTTACAGGAGGATCTGGACAAAGCGTACACATGGTCCATTGAGAACATGCTGCATTTAAACGCCACCAAGTGCAAAAATTCTGTGCAAATGCCATCAGAGTGCTTACATCTAGTGTGTAAGACCGCAACTTCTACAGCGGGCTTCTCACGAGTGCGATCTTGGCGTGCTCGTCCAAGAGGACCTTGGGTGTTTGCGGCAGGCTGACAAGGCGTCGAAGAAAGCAAACCAGCAATTCGGCCTTCCTCGTAGAGCTTTCGGGAAGTTTGACGCCTCACTCTTGCCGAAAATGCTTGACGGGTACCCGAGGCCGCACGCGGAATACGCTATCCAAGCGCGGCAACCCTGGCAGAAGCATCACTTCAGAGCACTCGTTACTGTACAACACAGGGCGACAAAGGACGTCAGAGGTTTGTCCCGCCTTTCCTACCCACTCAGGCTGAAAACCATCAAAATATACAGCGCACCTTGTCGGCGTCTACAGGGAGATCTCATAATGGTGTATCAGATCCTGAGAGACCCAAACCACACTGGCCACTCTCTTTTGAAACACCGTCAAAACACATCTCTAAGGGGTCTTCAGTTTAAGTTGGCCATGCAGTACAACCGACTGGAATGTCGACGAAACTTTTCTCCCTCCGAGTGTCACAACCTCAGAATGCCCTCTCAACACAAGTCATTAATGCGCCCACTTTATCCATTTTATCCAAAATTTGTCTTGACGGTACCCTTACATATTTACACTACGGGATTATAGTCCATGGTCATTAGATGATGGCATTTTTCCACAACAAACAGTGGACGGTGTCATAACCATCCTAAATCCCGGGCAGGAATACTCGCACATGTGCTACTCCAAACCTCGTGGTAACTCATGTATCTCACACGGTTTTACTGACACCGTATTTTGTAAATTTGTAAATTTACTCTTTAACCATGTTACAAGACATGTCAAGCATTCCCCTTCATACCCGTCCTAAATCATTGCTCTCTCGCTCCACTGTAGTCGTATTCAGACTTGCGAATCGTCGCAGTCAATGAAGTCCTGGTAGCTGCACTGTGACACGCCTACGGTGTAGCAACTCTGAGTAAACTAGGGAATACTGTGCCCGTGTGTACAATTTTCTCATGTTAACATCCTTCACATAATTACGGTGACCCCGGGGAATACGAATCCACTCAACCCCTAGGAAGTAGAATGATAGCCGATGGCTTGGACGTAAATATATAAAATGAGAGTTATGCATGTCGAATAGTTCCGAATTTTGGCCTGGGTGAAGAGAAACTGAGAGCACATGTGGTCATGAACAATCACAGAATTGGTGTATTTTGGTTGAATTGAGCCCAACTAAACAATTATGAGTGGATCGACCAAATATGGAGTGTTTAGTCACTATGAATAGTGTCGCCTTGACGGCACAACCTGCAGACCTAAGGCAGATAACATGCGGAGGTGGAAAACATCGGAAGACAACGAAACTCGAATTGCAAAGAGCAAGATGATGTAAAAGGAAGCATTACACTTGGTGGAGGGAATGTTGACCATCTGGGTTAGCTGACAGAGTGCGAGAGCACAATTGACCTATACAGTAGATCTTATTATGTTGTCTCAAACCAGTTGCCTGTCTTGGTCTGGCGCACAAATCCCTGAAGATCCTACGAGAAAATTCGCCACAAACTTTACCATGATCAATCAGGCATGGTGGAATCTCATGTAACCGAGCGCGGTCAGCATGCGAAGAATGTGATGGGGGCAGTGGTTAAAGGTAAAAAGAAGATCCTGTTCGTGACCAAAAGTGCAAACACACACTTATGTATTACCTCGTGTGGTATATCCTCCAGATGCGAACAATCGTCTATACGAACTGATGATCGAAGCCCAGCAGTCTCTTAAATACCCACAACTGATGGTGATTAGATACTTGATCTGTACGTCCAAAATAGCAACAAGATACCAGTGAAATTCCTCAAATCTATTAACTTTTGCATAGTGCGAGCGCCACACAGTAAGCGGTTTCATTCCCTACAAAATATCACACACTGCCGAACACAGCATCGCGACCCGATGACTAGTATGTTGATTGTACAGGCACTTTTATTATTTAGAACTGCGCCGAAGTACTGTCCCATCCCAAGCTATATTGTGTTGTGTCACGGTAGTGAAGACACTGTTTTATATGAGTCCAGGATATCGGATTGAGGAACAGCTAAGCTAATGCAGTGCACAGTTACTGAGGCAGGCAACGTACAACATACCTTCAGAGTGGTTGTTAAAAGAGTGATTTCAGGATTTTGAACCATCTGCTCACATATGAGCACAGATGGTGTTTTGTCAGAGAATACTAGTGAATCGCAGATTTCGAAGAAATGCGGTTGGCGCTTGATAACCTAGTAGTACGGCACCTCGCAGAGAACATCTAAGTCTAGATCTCTACCCTTATCACAATCTATGTCCGATTGGTCAGTCCAACCGAGGATGAATGCAACAGCAGCGCGCCGTTTTTTGGCAGGCAACGTATTCGGCATTCCCACTGCGGATGAAACTTGAGTGATCAGAATGACGGAGATCCGAGGTCCGAGTATCTACCATAGTTCTACTATGAAAGACGTAATGCGAAACTAAAACAACTGTGCCCGATGATTCAGCAGTAAGACTTCTAGGTAACAAAGCAGTCTCGGGCTATGGCTACTTCCAAATGAATACTCCGAGCGGACACGGACCCAGTAGTGGATTACAGTGTCGCGAGTGATAATAACAATGTATCCGTGTCACAGACCCTACCCGTACTATGAGGTTGGTTTCTAAGTAGTTCAAATTGATTCTGCCTGTCACGCTTCAGGCAGATAATGCGTACGCCAAAATACGAATGGGACTAGCGCTGCTGAGTATGCTTGGCAGCCTAAGGTTTAGCTTTGTGACGGAATATCACTAAGGCCCAGATTAGAATCTAAGCTCCGACTGTCACCGCTTTGATGGGCAAAAGGAGAGTGAAACCATTCATTGTGCGCAGTGCGGGCAGTGAGGTGGTGTCTAATTTACACACTGGAACCACTTGAGTGGAGCGATAATTACCGTCACAAAACAAGTGATAGATTTGGCATTTAAAAGAGTTGACTTACTTCCGTCAACGGGATATGGGGGAGGATTGTGTTCATATCCACTATTGTACATGTTTAACGGGCCTCTCTTCCACTACTCACACCGGGTGTAATAAGGAATACACAACACGAGCTGAGCTGCTGTGCGACTAATCACACATGCTTAAGCCGTTGAGGTGGCAACTGCTGTAACGTCAGGAGGACCAATAGAAATGCAACCAGACAGTGGATCGATGCGCGTCAATGTGACACTAAGGCCAGCAATTGGTTGCCATGGCACTCATAAGCCGCGTAGTGGACATGTATTTCGGAAGTACAGTGAAATTCAGACAATCTAAACGATTAATCTTGAGCAGTCGCTTTACAGCTCAGTTATAATTATTGGACTACCCGACTGATGTACGTCCCATCTGACCAAACAGATAGACTACGGAACGAACAAGCTAAACTTCCCCATATTTGCATGAACTTCATGCTCTGCTACCAAGCTATTTGCTGCTATGCACTGAAGATTCTACTTCGACTGCTGGTGAAGCGTCTGTAACCGAATTACTAATGAGTAAGACTAATCAAAAATTCAACCTCACAGTCTTCAAATGATATGATCAGGTAACTACTGTGTAGAGGGCGTAGTGATCTCTAGGTGCCATTCACTGTTCTCTGAAATAGTACTAATCTGTATGGCGGTGGAGGATAGGTGGCGCCATATCCCAGTTAGCTTGCAAACTGTGGCGGTCTACCAGCGTGCTACATGGCTCAGTGGCATAAGCTACTTGCTAGTTGACGCAAACTGTTACCGGTCATGGGTTCGGCTTCCTGAAGAAGAAATGCGCACCACTGACGAACCCCGATAGGACGAAACGCGTCTGGTGCTTTTGCAGATCGATGGTTAGACTGGCTTGTGAGCTGCTGAGGCGAATAATCAAAACGATCATTACATTCACTTGAAATAACCAGGGTTTATATTGAGTGAGTACCATTTCTGGGTACTTTGTAAATTCGAAGTGAGCTGATACTTTACCAGGGAATAGTTAATAAACCCCTATGCTGATATGAATGACATCAGGAACTTCAGGATTTCGTTACAACTATCGTTAGGTTGGGTATATGAAGCCCTTGTTTCGAAACGTCGTACGAAGAGGTAGACGCGTGTTTCTCTGTCCTACACCAGCTATATTGTGTAGCGAATTAGATAAATTGAGATTGTAATGACAGAAGGTGACACGTCGGTCGTTTATATACTGGGTCTTGCATTATCAAGACAAGAAATACCTACGATTCACTGAGCTGTGCTCAGTAGCTGTATGAACGGAGGACCGGGCGGAAAGCACAGTTGCTTACCCTGTGTGACTTGTGTAGGTGGAGATCCATAGGTAACATTGCTCACATTATAGTAACGCACTGAACTGCTTTGATGATTTCAGCATGTCACACCCAGTAAAACTTGAAATACCGGTAACAGTTAATACCCCCCGGTGATGTCATCCACTTGATGGTGAAACTTCTGATATCCTATCAACAAACTTGGTAAGCACACGAACACTTGTACACCGGGTGGAGTCAGTTGACTACGAGTGTCTTGTCACGCTGCAGTTGTGTGGCTATCAATGACGGCCCATCACGAGTTGCAGTTGCTGTCTGTTCATTTTTCAACAAAAATCGACCTCATTCGTCGCTGTGGTCTCTCGTCACTTTGTCTGCGAAAGGTCACATGGCTATTTGGCCTAAAGTGCCATCGTGCCTTTTATGCTTCAGGTATCCATACCCAATGAAAATCTGACAACACAGGAGAGCAGCAAACCAACAGCCATGCTTAAGTGTGAGTCGGCTCGAGCACACAATAGATACAGTGCTTTCAGATTGGTGAATCCTCATGACAACATCTCGCAGTCATTCCAAAGCGCAGAGGCTGTCAGTGCAAAATCCTGTACAAAAGTCATGTAAATGTGGCGGGACCGACAGCAACTGGTCACTTATTCAATCACCTTCAGAGAAATCCTTCACACAAATGTACACAGGGATTTGCCCTGGACGTGGCCTATTAACATGCAGGAACTACTCATTGAACGCAGTCCTTCCACGACGATGGTATTGCAACTTTAGCTTTTTAGAATTTTTCGGTTTACTTGGATAAACGGTGGAGGTGACGGCTTCGGAAATGCAAGTAGGTTGCTAATGATCGAGCCTTATGCAGTAGCCTAAACCTGTCATGCAAGAATAAACAATGAGCAGGAAGCAACGATCAGACGTGAACAGACTGCGACAAGCAGACCAGCACCGGTACAGAGTGTTTCAATGTGCTTCCAACAATAATGTCTTCCATTCGGTACCGCGTTTGATTCTTTGAGTGACTTATCTCTAAGAGGCATATCGCTGACTGTGTTTAGCCGGAGCTGAGATGGTAGCCTGCAACGGAACATGTACCAGCTTGTTAGTAGCAGTGCTACCATATCTTCTGACTGAACGACCACCTTCAACACTCTCGGGCCACTTCCTTTGTAGTTCGGTGAGGTACGCAGCCGTGACACGGATTTCGCTAACACATCATCCAAGCAGAGTGTCCCACGATTACACCACCACTGTCTTTTAGCATGGGTTAATATTTCATGCTCCTTACATGCTTCAGTTTCAGGAACTCCGTGAAGAAGTATGGTTCTGGTTGAAGTTTCCTTCCGGTAGTCCTCTAAGGTGCGGTTAAATCGATAACGCTCGCCCCATGGGATATCTGGAAAGATACGGATGGAGCAGCGTTCATTTCTGAGACTGCCTGTTGACAGTAGTACAGATTCTACTTCAGCGATGGAGTTCAGCACAACACGCAGAAATCTTGGCTCTCCGAAATGTTTAGAGTTGGTGTGTCGTGTAATACGCATTACGTGTGCAGGTTTCAGTACAACTCCGATTAGGTTACTAATAATGTCCCACTGGTTGAGGTCATCCAACTGCCTGCCTCTTATCGATGTCGACTTTGCTTCTGGGATATTGGAGCACAGTACGCTCAGTACAGGTAGTTGTTTCTTTACACCTTTCGACAAGTCGCGATTAGTGATTGAAGTACTCGGAGATGTACAGCAGGAGACCGGTGGTGCTTGCACTGGAAAAACGCCGCTACGCTCCTCAGTTTCCGATCTATTTGGGGTGATGTTAATTTTAAATGACTGCTCTTCTTGGAGGCAACCGTAACCCAACTTTCGCTCGTAACGGCTTGCTCTTTTTCTACGCACTCCGTGGGGAGTTTGGAAGTAGCCTTACGTGTAGTTGCTCCGATCGAACTGAGAACCGCTTTAGTCAAATGTGAGCTACTTGTTGTGTTGGGACAGCAGTTGATGTTCTGTGCTCTTTGTGTCGTGTTGCATACAGTGTTACTAGCCGTTCTTCTCGGGATGGGAGCAGCATTCACGGGGGGAGGATTGGGTTGCACAGTCTGCTATGCTTGCCCCAATCGTAGTGATTTTGGTGGTCACCATTTCCTCAAACTTGCCTACTAGCTGGTCATACTTCTGAGATAATAGGAGCACGCTTTTTATCAGTGGGATCGATGTGCATTCCACACAGAACCATAGCGAGTCTGGTTTGTTTAATAACTTGGCCTGACTAGGTTTAACTCGGAGGCATCTCGCATGGAAAAACTTGCAACAGTTACGGCACAAAATGCCCACCTTAACAACTTTGGGACATGATCCACATAGGTCTTTAGTCTGTGGCACACGGCATCGCGCTTGGTGAGGAAGTGTTGCGAACCATTTGAATGACTCACCCTCTATGGTAGGACGTTGTTCTGTTACTGACGTTGTCGGCAAGGTCACAGTGTTTGCGTTGCAGTTGTGTGCTCGCAGACTGTCCTTTCTGACGTGCTAGTCGAATGTCAGCGTGAACGTGGGGCAGATTACATGAGGGTGTGATTGAGAAATTTCGTGGTTAAGCCTATGGATTGCTCCGGGTGGATTTGCTATGAGACCTGTAGCTGCTCCAAGTAATGTTACATTTGACAGTTCGTTCGAAAGGCGTTAAAATGGTCTATCAAATGAGACCAAACAATGTCTACGATGCTTGGAGTTTCGCAACATTTTGCGCTTTGATATCAGCGAAACACTACCCGGAATTTAGAATTTAGGGTACATGCAGCATGCACTAGTGTGTACTCGCGAAAATAGCATCACAAGGTGGAGCTTTTAAAACACGACGAATAAGTGTAGATCCAAAGGTGTGCGACAAAATGCCGCTGAGCCACAGTGAAAAACCACGAGTGCACAAGTGAGCGATTTGCACGCACGTTCGCTCAAGTTCATAACAGGTAATCAACACCTTGCTTTCTTTCGCAATGTCCGGCTGACTTGAACCCCCCATCTACCCACGAAAGCTTACTGCCTACGTGCGACCGCACGCGAAATACGCTATCCAAGCATGCAGAAGTGGCAGAGACAGGATCTCGTTCTCGAGGCTCTTCAGCAGAGGGCAACCAAGAACGTAAGGGCCTATTCCACAGTTCACAGTAACCTAGATGGAAGTACCTAGAAATGCACAGCAATCAATATTGCCGTTTGCGACGGGAACATAACGGTTTAGCAGATTCTGACGAACACAAGCCAAATTTGCAGCACGCTTCTGTACCACTTTTCCATTGATTTCTGCCTTAACACAATCCGTTTAATCTTTCACTCATCCGCTTTCGTCCTTAATGCAGAAAATTTAATCAATTATAAATCTAATTTAATCCAAATCGCACGGTGGGGTCCGCCGTGAACCTCGCATGAGAGAACTTACGTATGTGTGCGTACATGCAGAATGTGTGAGCGTCGTTTTCCAAGTTTCACACAGATACTTCCACTGGAATGGATCAACCCTTCCACGAGTGAATGGTCCATAATTACTAACTCCGATAATTACACTTGCAAAGAAAACATCGCTTAAATGAACAGGATTGAAACCCAAAGCGGACACAGGAGGACGCACCGTACGCCTGAGGATTGAAAGTGGATGAAAGCAGACTGCAAGTAAAAGCGCACGATATCCGCTTCAGGCCAAAACATTTACCTGGAACAAATTTTAGTATCCCATAAGGTAATTATCAATATTTTAACATTTGCTTTAACAATCCGATTCAACTGTGAGGTTGAAATTTTATAACAACTTCAAACCAATTTTTACACCCCAAAGTCAAACCAAAGTTGATCCAATGTGAACGTCAAACATTTGATTGAACCTATTTGAACATGACTTGTTGGCGTGTCTAGTTCAACAACGAGAATATGAAAATTTATTGGTATAAATAAATACATATTCATTTATCAATTATGCCCAATGACCTGAGCGGGAAAACGTGATAACCAAACGGCGAACATCCATCGCGCCTGGCATACAGAGGCATCAGTTTAGCATCGAAACGTCAAGCTGATTTCACGCGTCTGACATAAGTGCAAATGCTCATACGGTTGCCATGGTCCGTCTCTGGTCAGTGGACTTGTCACTTCCGCTTTCCCCCAGTTGGGTTGCACGGGAACCGCACGCAGCGGACAAGACAAAAAGAAATGCTTCCTCATAGATCACCTAACAAGTTTGTCTTTAATTGGATTTCTATTCTATTCAACCTGTAGATCACATTACGCGCGATGGAAAGAAGAGAAACCTGCGCCCGTCATCCGTCCGATGTAAAGGCTCCTTTCCTGAAGACAGGAAGAGGGCGACGACTGGAAGGGAATTGCATCGCTTTTACACGTAAATGTGGAGACATTTAGAAGCTGGATTAGAACATTATAGTTGACTGAACCGACAGGAGATCGTAGCGTGTCGCATCGAAAGTGCCTGTCGGATAGTCACGTGGATTGTTTGGTGGAATGGGTGGAATCGAAACCCACGGTTACCTTGGCAACTCCTCTGTTACGACCGAAGGGGGAGTTCGAGGTGAACGTGAGCATCAGCACAATCGCTCGCTGCCTAGACGGTCGCCTCATGACAATGAAGAAATTACATGCGATATCGGAATCCATGAATACCATGGATAGCAAACGGCTAAGGAAGGCGTAGGTGTTAGTTAATGAACTTGGAGGCAGAACGACAACGAGCCGTGTGGATAGATGAGGTGGACTTTCATCTGTTCTGCGCTCGCACAATAGGACGTTCAGCATGTGGCACCCGTACGCACGGTACGGTGCCGAGCACTCGGGGACAAAATTTGCACCTGATCAGCGCGATGAATGAGGATGGATTGCTCGGTTATTCTGTCCTAAGAGGAAATTATAATAAAGAAAAATGTGCGCGGTGGTTGCGGTTACTGCTTGATATCAATGACATCCATTTCGCCGAAAACTGTTTCTTTATTTTTGATAACGCACCCTGTCACATCGAC